GCATCCCCCACAAAACCTGGCACTGGACAGCCCCAAAATGGGGCTCTGTTTGCTACCTTTCGGGTCACTGCACTTCCACCAGGTTCGCTTGAACCGGGTGCTCCTGCTGAAGCAGAAGGACTCCGGCGGGCAGCCCCTCGGAGAAGTTGGGTCCGCGAGTTCCGGCGGATCTGATTGAAAAGTCATTCTCCCATGGTTTCTTTTTTAGAAGGGGTGTCGCCAAATTGGGCACCCCTCTTAGGGTGGTGCCCTTTGGGCCGAATTTTGACGGCCCCCTTTTTTTTAGCGCACATGCAGACATGTAACAGGGGTGGATTTCGCTTGTGCGGGAGAGAACAGCAGCACACCTACCACCAAGCAGCAGCTCAACTGGGAGGTTTTCCATGAGCCTTGAATGACAGGGTGGATCAATTCCTGCAAAAACGTGGGCGTGCAGATTGCGAATGGTTTTGAAGGTCTATCGGGGCCTTCCCAAAGGTATTTTGGCCCAACACTCGGTGAGGACACTTACAATACATATGCATTATTATTATATATATATATATATACAATAAATATTGCGTCCAAGACAATGTGGAAGGTTGAGTGTGTTCCTAGGGTACCCCTGATTCTACCTTTCATCATGTTCTTTTCTGATACTGTCGCAGTAGCAACACGCCTCAAAATGTACCGCCGGAAAAGGACACGGGGTTTCAATCGCCTGTTCATGCCTTATCCATGCACTTGCCTTATCCAGGTTCCAGGTCAACGTGGGCCAGCCGCTGGTGGACAATGCCTATGCTGAGGCGTTGTGGCTGGTATGCCGGGAATGCGCATGCTGATCGTTGCCGGTACGCTTTGGATTGGTCAATTCGCCATGTTGAACGTTCCCGAAAAGGTGAAACAGTGCAGGTCTCCAATTTTGGGGATACTTGGGAGGTTTAAAGATGTTGGTTACTGCCAACGTGTGTGCGGGTTTCGGAATCGGTTCATGTTCATGATGACAAAATCATGCATCCGTGATTGATTCTGTAAATGCTGAAGCATCACCGCGCATTGCAGGACTTGGACCAGCATTTTGTCTAGCCGTCCTTAGTCTCACGCAACTCGATGAATCGCACGTTTTGTTTTACATCAGCTCGGATAGCAAAGTTGCGCGAGCTATGCATATGCAGATGCGAGCCCAAGCTAAGTCGCTGGGTATTCTCACCAATTTTCAATGCAGCATGGACGAGTTGCTATGGGTGAAATGGGTGCAGTGCCTGCTCGACCCTGCAGATCACCATTTTGGAGCATTTGAAGGGCGAGGACCAGCTCATCTTCAAACACAAGAAGAAGACACACCAGCTGCACTGTGCCGGTCGAAGGTGAGGCTTTCTGTCGGGTTTTTGCTGGGAACACTTGCAGGCAGCACACGCCCCTTGCTGTTGGTTCTCCTTTCGGTTTCCCTTTAAGGGGGCATCATGGGCGATTGTTTGATCCATTCAATTTGCCCAATGTACAGACGGGGTGGGCTAGGTTATTGTACAAGGTGTTTGGCTGTATGGGGCGTTGGCTCTGCCTTTTGACGCGCTGGGTTTCTACATCTATTCAGGGTGTGCTCTACGGTCCCCCATAGAGGTTCTGCACCAGAGGCGATCCCTTCTTTTTCCCCCGGAAAGGGTGTCAAAGATAGCCCGTGTGATTTCCCATATCCTTTTTGTTTTTGTGGGTGCCCATTGTTGGCAAACCACCTGGTGCTTTGTGATTTGAATCTCTGCTTCTTGTAGAGGGTAAATAGTGGGAAACCCTTTCCTAACCACCACATCACCAATTCAAACCACCAGTTGGAGGGAAGCTGAACTAGTTGCAGTTGCGCCTGAGCTAAGGAAGCACTACATGAAGCGATGGATCGTGAACCAGAAGCTCACGCGCTTTCGGGTCGACAAGCCAGGGACCAAGGATCTCGATCGACGGATTCAGCGACCAAACCCACATTGGGCATTTTAGTGGGTGGTTCTGCTTGGTTTGCCCCAAGATTGCTTTCAACCTTTTCCATTTTGCGGGTGGAACCCGAAGTCAATGGGTTTCGGGCACTGTTCATTTGGCTCCAAGTCTGAAAGAAACACTCCAGGTCTTCTGTTTCATGGGGATGGCCCTAGCCCAACCTCACTCAGGGCACATGTTTGTTTTGAGTCCTTGATGGTACACCGCACCCATTGTCAACACCTTCAAAAGCAAGGGTCAAACTGGGAATCTCTTAGATTGAAGCAAGAAGGTCTCATGTTAGAACATGCGTAAGCTTCAAAGTTTTTGTTGGCCTGGATCCAAGATTGCGCACATAAGTTGTTTGGGAGTCTTGGAGCGGTTTTGTGGAATATATTGACAGTAATTGGCCTGGGCCCAAGATCCAGAACTGCACAGAAGAACGTTTTGGAATATTGAAGCCAGGCCACCCCTTAAAACTTGAAAGTTGTTTGACCTGGGTCTAAGATCCAAAGTCCAACATTGCACAGAACAGTTTTTGGGCACCCCCGCAAGTGTTTCGAAAAAGAAAAAAAATACAGTAAAGTTGCTTGGCCTAAACTCAAGACCCACTATCCAAGATTGTGCAGAGAAATGTCTCGGGCATCTCAGATCTTGGAGCCACCCTTACATATCTGATTCAAATCACGCGGAATTAGGTAAAGAAAATACCCCTCTGGAAGTTGAATTTGATGTCAATTTCAACCAGCGATTTCCATCAAATTGCTCCATTTGTGCTTTTCCCGGCGAGCATAAGGAAATGCAACCGTAAAAATGAACTTGGATTGAACTTGAAATTTCCATTTAAATAGGACATTCGTCCCAAACTAGATTTTCAATAGGTGTCATTGGCACATGCTAAGTCGACTTAGACAGCAATGCATCTTTTAGATGGGATTGCGTTCCATATTTTGTTTTCAAGAAAATAGTGTCAAAACGTAAGATGGATTGATGTGTATATAACTTGATTGAATGCAAATGGAGCTGCGCCAAGACATGGAGGACGTTCAGAGTTGATTCGGATATCGGTTTCAATTAGCAATCTAGATGCCAATGCATTCCTACCCTGTAAGTACGGAAATTCAGTTATCACTTATTTACTCGTTTTCACTCCTACCCTTGCAAGTGTCCGGATAGTTAAATGGCGTCGCCGTACTTTGCAAACTTGTAATGGCCTGTTGCTCTGTTTGGAGCTGCCAAAGTGCACTTTGCTTCCTACATTTGTAGTGAACAACTGCAACTTTCAAGCTATTTCAAATAGGATATTCTTTGCACACTTGCTTCTAAATTGTCCTCGACATTGGTTCTGATTAGAACTCTGATGGAGTTGAAAAGGAAGTACATTCTTTTCAGGTTGAATTGGGTTCAATTTCTTGGGTTTAGGTTTGGACACACCCAAATGGTCTGAAGTGTCTGCTATGCAACTGACACACCGCAGGTCCATGCCTGGAGTAAGTGTTTGCTCTTGGTCTGAAACTGACAAAACCTCGTTCAAAGGGGGATAATTTTTAGATGTATTTGTTGCAGCCAGGGACGCATAAACCAAGCCATGCAGCAATTTGGAGCTTGGCAGCCTCGGATTCCCCGTTTGAAGTTTCACTGGAAACAATCTGGTTACACTTCTCAAATCTGGTTGCAAAGGCCAAGTCACCAGTTACAGTTGATTTTTGAGTATGGCAACTCCTTGGTCGATTCTTCCCCTTGGATTCAATTCATGTGGCGGGCGGTTGCCAAACCCGAGCCAAACCAATTGTAGTTTTAATCAGGGGTAATTGAAGTGATCAGATGATGACCCAAGTTCGCACCGAGAAATGACAAATGACGGGCCCAACGCAAACCTCGACATGATATGGGGTTGCTCCTTCCGGGCGTCGGTTTTGACTCACTGAGGATTGTCTTGGGCTCTCCAGAGGATGACATGGGACGGGCGCCGTACCCACTTGAGCCGAACGCATTGCGCGACTAGGGACACCAGGCACTCGCCCCACGAGATGACACCATTTCTGCAGCCCAATGGCAGACATGTTTTTGAGTTTGCATGTCGATTTGCATGCACCACACATTTGATGGACAAGTTGCGAGAGATACCTTTCTCAACAAAATCTATGTTGGCAGTTGTTTTCAGGGGCGTGCCTTTGTTTTCATCGCGCAGTCGGGTTGGGAAGCGCTGGGAACGGCGGCTGGAACAAAAGATGCGCTGCGCATGATAGGTTAGGCTCCGCTGCCATGCTGCCGTGTGCTAGCTTCATTGGGACTTCCGCAAATCCAAAAGCTGGATTTTCGCCTACGACCATTCCTGCGGTTTCCCGATCTTCGCAAAGGCAACTGATCTGGAGCAAACAGCATTTTTTTGTTGTGTGTGTTTTTTGTTGAGGGCACGCATTTGCATGTGCTACTTCTATGTTTGTGCGGACGTGATCCTCACACATGCATATCGAACTGGGCTGGCTGTTTGCAGTTTGTTGTTTGGCCAACTTTGCTGAAGACAGTTAATTGAACGTTTCAGGTTCGAGTATTTGCCTTGTCCACAAGCTTGTATGGTGTATGCACGTTCACGACGCATGCTTATTCTGCCTACGCGTCCCATTTGATGGACAAGGCCCACAAGGGCAGGATGCCGGAGCCAGCCACTCACGAAGCCTTTGATGTCCAAACATCAAACGCATTCACTCCGGAGAATCACGCTCGCTTCTCGCCCACAAGAATAATATCATGGCGGTATGGACATGGACAACAGTCACATTTGCCTGCAATAGTTGGCAAGTACGAATCAGCCATCACACCGGAGCATCACCTTGTGGTACTGAGTCCTTTCTGTTAGTCACCTCCAGTCATGTCTTAACCCAAATGGCATAGTCAGAAGGCCCTGTTTCCAGAACCCCTATGTTGTGTTGTGGTCGTTCATTTGTTCAGCCCATGTTGAGCAACCAGCTCTATTAACAGGGTTCCGGTTCAGCAAGAACCGCATTGTTTCTCTGTCCTTTGGGCCACAGTCATCGAGATGCCCATCACGCCAGGCCACCAGCTACCCTGGGCCATCGGCCGAGAGTGGCAGCGTGAAATCTCGGGCAAGGCGTTGTTCCAAGTGGTCTTCAGGGGCCTAGCTTTGTGCCGGGGTCTGGGCACACCTGGGGCTTGATGGCAGAAGCCGTGCGAAATTTGAGTTGGGTTCAAGCATCGCGGGGCATGCCTCTCGGAAAATGATGCTGGCTGGTTGAAACGGAGCCAAGGAGCAGGCATAGTTTGTTCGGAGCTATCGGGAGTTCTGTTTGGGCACCTGGTAGGATGACATCCTCGCAGAGGGTTTGTTGGGCACTTTACGCATTCGCACGGCGCCACAGCGAGAGCGCTTCGAGGCGGGCACTGCGCGCACGCGCGAAACGTGGAGAACGATAGGGGACTCACTAAAAGCAGAATGAATACACCCCACACAGCAAATATTGACGCTGGCTCATGTACAGAGCTGGTTGTAGCGAGACCGAGGCAGAGCGGCTTCCCCGGAAGCCCGGGGCCAAGGTTTTTTCAGCAAAGCTGCCTGACCAAATGGTTCGACCCATTTTTTGGCCAAACAGCACATTTGACACACCTCGAAACGGGAGGTCTTTAATCTCCAACAAAAACCGCGAGTTTGTCAAGGAGCTTGGTTTTTGAAAAAGTAGAGCAAAGCCTGTCAATCACGGGCAACCTGTCGATCTTGTACAGATTCCCACAAACCAGGGTTGGGCGAAACCGCTGCTTCAGTCTTCCAGCAAAACAGAAAAGAGTGCGTGTTTGAAAATCATAGTTTTGTTTAAAGAGCAAAAAGGCTGGCCCAGCTCAGCCTCTCACCGTGTGGCATTGGAGGGGTATGCAGACGGCAGACGTGACACAATGTGTAAATATTGTGAGCCCCAGAGGGCCACATTTTGCAGTTATCATTTATTTTTCCGAAGTTCTAGTTGCCGGAGCACCGCGAGGATCCGACCGTTCATTGATCTTGATGATGCAAGCAAATATTTCAGATGTTTTCCGTGTTGGGGGTCCATCAAAGATGTGCATTCTCTCCGAATGGGTCCATAGCTGCACCCGATGGCACTCTGAAGTTGAGGCGCTATGCCTTGTCCAAGATCAAGGAGATGCCCTTTGCGTGCCAACCTCAAGTCGGAAGTCGGGAGCCTTCCCATCCGGCTCAGGCCGCCGACATTACAGGCCTGCTCTCTTATATGCGTCCCTTTGGAATGGTCCCATTGGAAGTTTCCCTTGAGGATCTCCCCACTGGAATTATCCAAACCATTGGGATGTTAAGACTTGAAGCCATTCAGTTTTTAAGACGTTAAGCCACTAAGATTTGAGATTTTACTCCATTCCATTAAACATTTAGGTTTTGAAGCCATGAATATTGTACGCCATTACTATTGTACAGACTTGCAAACATAGTTGTTAAACACGTTAAGCCGCTGATATTTTAAGATTGTAAGCCATTCAGATTTTCAGAGTGTAATCCATTCAGGTTTTTCCCACATCATTGTGTGGGATTCTTACTGTTACCGCTGCGCACCCGCCGCCGTCCGTCGCCCGCATCCGCCGCTCGCTCACTCACGCGCTCGCTCGCTCACTCGCTCTCACTCACTCTCACTCTCACTCTCACTCTCACTCACTCACTCGCTCTCACGCACTCGCTCACTCACTCTCACTCACTCTCACTCACTCTCACTCACTCTCACTCACACTCACTCACTCTCACTCACTCTCACTCACTCTCACTCACTCGCTCTCACTCACCCTCACTCTCTCTGACTTACTCACTGACTCACTGACTCACTGACTCACTGACTCACTGACTCACTGACTAACTAACTCACTCACTCACTCACTCACTCACTCACTCACTCACTCACTCTGACTGTGACTGTGACTGTGACTGTGACTGTGACTGTGACTGTGACTCTGACTCTCACTCACACTCACACTCACACTCACACACACACTCACAGTCACAGTCACACTCGCAATCACTCACGCTCACTCCGTTTTTGCGTGGCATGGGCAGCGTTTTGTAGCTGTCTTTGCTTGACTCGATGTTGTCAAGCGCGCCGCTGAGGTCCCCGTTTTGCCTGACAGGCACAAGCGCTTTGGATATGGCTTGCAAGTATCGTGGCAGGCGCAGCATTTCCTGTATTTGGGTGTGTGCGTGTCTGCGTGGCAGGGGCAGCATTTGGTGGCTGTCTAACGGGACTGGATGTTGTCGTTGTCGAGCGCACAGCTGAGAGCCTCGTTTTGCGTGACAGGCGCAGCACTTTGGAGATGGCTTGCAGATTTCTTGACAGGCGCAGCATTTCCTGCGTCTGGGTGCACGTTTGCGTGGCACGGGCAGCATTTGGTAGCTGTCTAAAGGGACTCGATGCTGTTGCGCGCGCGGCTGTTTTTGCGTGACAGGCGCAGCGCTAAAGAGATGGCTAGCAAATTCCGTGGCTGGTGCAGCATTTCCTGCGTCTGGGTGTACGTTTGCTTGGCATGGGCAGCATTTGGTAGCTGTCTAAAGGGCCTGCTTGCAATTTTCGTGGCCCACCACTACTCACTGACAAGCCCTCACACGCACTCACACTGACTCACTCTCACTCTTCAGCCCCCCTTCGCTTGCCTTGCTTTCCTGTAATTTCCACTCCTGTCCCCGGCATCCTTGCATTACGCTTGATTCCCCGTTCATCTTCCCGTCGTGTCGACCTCAATTTTTGTACGCTTCCCTTTCGCTTCCTCTTCTTCCCCGGTGTTTTTCCGAAAAAAACACAACAGTTTTCAACGTTCTCGCAAAAAGGAGAGCCGGCAGGGGGATTCAAGCCTGGGACCCCTGTTTTGCCACACCGGCTCCCCGACGACTATCTTTAGTAGAACGTCGCCAAGTTGCCGCGCGGTGCGTGAAAAGAAAAGCCGGCACGTGTCCGGGTTATCCTCCATCCTTAGTTGCGTGCCTGACACGCCAAGCAATGTCGGCGGATATCAAAGCAACCTTGGTTGGTCCATTTACATCCCTGGCATTGTAGTGCCACAGTTAGCAATTCTGTTGCTGCTCATGGATGGTTATGCGGCCCACTTCCTTGACACGACCAGCAGTCGCCCAGCGCTGTCAGTATAGTATGGTCGGCCCTTTTGATGCAGACATTTGTCATGCCCTGTGGGAACAACGCAAGACTCCCGATCATTTTGGAGTAAGTGCTCGGCTTTGACAGCTCGATCGGCTTTTTAAGCTGACCCAATTGATTCAAGCCACTGAGATTCCCGGCTGAACACATACTGTATTTGATGGTTGGCCCCAGCAGCCGAGCCTTTGGCACCATCGAGCGTTTCGAGTCCCCTGACAAGCATGTTTGCATTCCTACAAGGAGGCGAAAGGACTAGACAAAGGGAAATGCCGACACTTGTTCCATTAGTAAAATAGATTTGCATTCTCAAAGTGACCCTCCAAGTGGTGGTTGACAGGCCTTACAATGCTCCTAAACCGCATGGGAAAGGTAATCGCTTGACGGGATCCGGCAGAGCGCTCCTGCAAGTGCCCAGGCTGAGGGAACCCTACCCCGCAGCTCCGCCCGGGGACGCAGACGTTGGTTGGGAGTTGGTTGGGAGTTGGTCGGGTTGGTTGGTTTGGTTGGTTTGGTTACATGAGTTGTTTTTTTTCCATTCATTGTACTCACATACTTGGTCCTGCAAGGTTCAGCTAGCGTGGGCATGTGAGTCATTGCATGCAAGACGATCGCAACAAGTGTTTGACGAAGTGGTACAACTCTGTCACTTGAGTTTTTTGATAGTTGGTCTTCGTTTTTTCGGCGCATCCTCAAAGCCTTGTTTCATGCTTATGTCCAACTGCTTAGCCGTTTACGCACGAACTGATTCAGAGTGGAGTTCCCGGTGCAAACCATGGGGCCACCAGCTCCTTGCGAGGGCAATTCACAAAGGCTTTGCATGGATGTAGTTGTTTTTTTTGGGTTTTTTTCTTCCGAAGGAATTGGACATCAAATTGTTTGCTCCTGTGGTCCCGTGAAAACCATGCCAACGGTGTGTTTTGTTTTCATGTTTGATGACACTCCCAAATAAATATGGGCCCAAACACTTCTGGTTGACTTCATGTTGGGCTTCCTTTCAGCATCGTGGAAAAGCCAATCGAGGGTCCGATCAATGATTTTCAGCCTGAGCTTCCCTGCTGTTTGCCGGCAATGGCCTAAAAAACCAGTTGCCAGCAAGCGTGAATATGTGTGTATAAATATATATATATATATATATGTACCGGTCCCTGGGCCACGTACCCCCCCCCCCCCCCCCTCCCAATGGTATGGTCCCCCCACTCCCCCGCATCATCCGCATCTTGGGGATGATGCTGGCAATGCTGGGGATGCTGTCCAGTACCGTGTGAGCTTCAGTCCCAGACTCCCCCTTTCACCCCGTGAACCAACACCCCCGCACCTCTCGCAACATCCTACCCTAAACCAAACCACCCTGCAACCCCTCCTTAACCCCAACCCTAAGCCTAAATCAACCCAAACCCCAAACCCACCCGAAACCCACCGCAAACCAACCCTGAACCAACCCTGAACCAACCCTAAACCAACCCACCAAGCCTAAACCAACTCCGAACCACACCCCAACCACCCCAACCACCCCACCACCCCACTTTGCGCGGATGACATTTGCCTCAGCCACAAGGCCATGGGGCTCCGTGGGCATCAATCAGCTGCTGGCCGCGCGGCGAGCCGCCGACGCCCCCAGCGGAATGAGCTCGGGGGTGGGTAAATACCCGCGGTTTGCTGCTTGTTACCATCCGACCAAACACGGGTGACCCTTACATTTTGTTTGATTCGTGTTTTTGTTTAAGGACGGCTCAAATTTCAAAAGTTTGATTTGTGTGTTTTTTCAGGGCAACCACCTCCGTTTGTGGGTCGCCCGATTTTGATGCACACCCACATGAATGGAAGTGAAGAACCCTTTCCGAAAGGAAGTCATTGGGGTGACTCTAAACGGGTAGCCAGGAACATTGAGTTCTCACCAAGTTTGAGTCGTCTACAAAACCCGCTCACCTTGGTGCTGTGTGCCTAACATTTGGCGAGGACTTCAACCCTTGGACAAGCGCTACAGTGCCTCATTTGTTTTCTTGACTGCCCCTTGGTTGGCTTTCAGAGGAAGTGCCTGTTGATCTACCGAAGAAATCTCAAATATTCCGCCCACATTTGGCTGAGCGTTATGTGTCGCAAGCTGCATTACTGCAAAAGAGGCAGTGAGTTGACCTTCCCTTTATGCATGTGACCTCTCGCTGATGGTTGGCCAATCCGAAGAAGGTTCCCGTTTGTGAGGACCTGGAAAGGGATTTATTCCAAGCGGACCAAGCGTGTCCCGTGCCCCCAGAAATGTGCTGGATGTGTGTCCAATCTTGCAGGTAAGGGAATACAATGGGAAACTGGCAATTCTTGCGAACCTATGGTTCGCTTGCCTTACCCCCCGGCCCCGGCCCGGCCCACATTTTTTTCCTGTAATTCCTGTTGGGGCCCTCGAAAAAAATGACAAGTCATTTAAACAGATGTTTCTCCTACGGACAGCAACAAAATAAAAAATATGGACAAACTAGGGCTTTTAGGAAGACATATTTCATATTCATTCTCGAGAAATTACTTGAAAAGCAATTTTCAAGATGAATATATTAAAGATGTTAGCAGTGCTAATTTTGACAGGTTCCATGTGAATTTGACGAGAAGGTTTGCTTGAACTCCGCTCCGCGGCGCCTCGGCTCGGCCATCGGCCCCGATCGAGGCGCTGACGAAGAGCGGGGTGCTGGACCGTGCGGTGCTGCCGAGATAGGCGAGACATCCATCGGATCCTTTTTCGGGGTCCCTCAAACAATTTATTTGGCCCAACTTAAAAATCACCTTTACCAGCTGATTTAGGAATCTTCTTGTTCAAGGCAGCTGGTTTTTGGATGTATTGCTCTTCCAATAGCTTTATCATCCGGCATGAGTGCAAGCCAGCAGTCCCTTGTCACCTGAGACTGGGCAAAAACAAGGATCATGGCGGCTACCGCTCACGTTTCCAGCCCTGCACCTTGCAGAGCGTCCGGCAGAAAATGCCCGCGCCTGTCATGGCAGATGCCAGGGTTGCTCCTGAAGACCTGGGAGAAAGAACCCTTGGGGGAAGTGGTCAATTGGGGCGCCCTAAACCCAGCTGGCCATTTTTGTAGGGGGTTCTATTGCTCGGTTTGATGAGATTTGCAGGGAGGTCGTCACAAACCATAGTAAAGTTGCGAGAGCCAAAGGCCAACTAGTTTTGGGCGCTCAACTTTGCTTGTTTGATGATGTTCCCCACTGGGCACCCGCATAGGGAGCAACTCTGAAGGACGGCCAACGCTCCTTTTCCGTCAGCAAGGCGAGAAAGACTCAGGAGCTTGTGATTCATGATCAACGCTTATATATACGGATCATTCTCTAGATGTGTTTTTTTGTTTTTTTTGTGGTGTCCTTGTTTGACAAACTATGAAATTAGTCATTGACAATCATGCTATAAACAGGTAGTTGTGCTTGGTTGGGGGAGTAGTACCCAGTGTTTCTTTCTGCTTGCAAAACGGGGGGAATAATCGCTTCCCTCCCAAGAATAGTATGGTGCCAGCAAAAACAAAAATGGCTCGGGGGCAAACGATGTTTATGAATAGGGTAATTAGGGGTGAACCGTCCAAGTGGGCTCCCCCCTTTCCCGGACACGAAAGCCGTCAAAATCTCATCTTCCGAGCAACGAATCTAGATAGAAAAGTTGGAGGTTGTTTTCTTCGGTTTTGCGGTTCCAGAGTACAAGGCACAATTTGAATTTGGAAGTACAATTCTAGCGAACAAAGGTTAAGATTGTAGAAGATAAATATGAATTTGGCATCGGTGCTTGCGTCCTGGACTAATTACCCGCCAATACGGCTGGGCTGGCCTGGGCGCAAAATCCGCCAGTGTGGTATTGATTTAGAATTGGCATATTCTGAACATAGCATTGGGGACGCGGCGGTCTGGGAAAAACAATATCTACTAATAGCCCGAAATTATTCGTAGGGGGAAGTGACTACTCAAATGACGCGCTATAGTAGCTGCCCGATGCTTAAATGTTTGCTTCCCAACCAGTGCGCAATTCCAAAGCATCTCCAAAGGGTCAGACTTCCATTGACGTCCGATGCAGCTTGAGCCTTTTCAAATCAAGCTTCGGCGGGCCGCTTGCCGTACGCGAGGCACCAGCCGCACAAGTTGAAGTTGCCACAGAGCTGAAATGCCGGTGGATGGTTGCTCGCTTGCCCAACGCCGCTGTGACATTCTGTAGCTGTCCCTTTTCAGGGTGCATTTTTTAGTCATGGGCTCCAAAGGATTGGCTTCCAAATGCAGATCCGTTTAGCACGCGAGTTTACCTTTAACACACAAACACGACATGGCAAACTGCGGCCATATGTGCAAACTCGCATTTTTGGACAAGCGTGAGCAGTTGTTGTGTATGATCTCCCTTGAGCGTCGTTTTTTTCTTTTCTCATCGAGTCGATGGATCGGAACAGGTGGATGCAACCACTGCAGCTGCAGCCTTAGATCTCCAAAGTGACACCGAAACATGTGCATCCGCTGGGGATCCACTGGCAAGTTCTAGCTCAACAATCATGGAGGACACGGGAACCTTTTTGAGACGATGGTCCAATTCAAGATTGTTTTTGCAAACTCTCCGGTCCGCATTGTTGTTTGTTTTTTTGCAACATGGGTATTATTTGTACAAAAAGCGCTGAGTGCAGCTGCGAATTCGGCTGGTTGCAAGCTTTTGTTTCCCTGTGAGAAGAGCTCGCGATGCTGGAGTTTACGCGGGACAAAAGTGTGTGTGTGTGTGTGGCAGGTTAAAACACCAAGAGGCACACAGAATTATTTGACAAGACTGAAACTTGACCAAAGCTGAGATGTAGCTTAATCAGGGCTTGCATGTTGTACCTCGGATGCATTTTTCCCCAGGAAGGTCCCCGCTAGACAATGATGAACACCATGTATTGCTTAAAGTCATTTGATATGTTTTGAAGTTTACACGTTGCTTCTCCTGTGTTACAGCCTGGTTTATGTTTAAAGCCACTCCCCAATGGTTGAACCTTTCCTTTTCTTATATCTTTTGAGTACCCGAGGCAAGCACTCCTGTTGAGATATGGCTGTGTTTGAGGGTGTTTGGAGGGTGTTTGAAGGGTGTAAAGGAGACTGAAGGCAAATCTTTTATAGGGGGCTACCATATTAGCCAAATTCACAAGCCGTCGAAGAGTCTCACGCTACAAGCAGGCATAGGCATAGGCTTGTCTAAAGAAGAGGAACCCTTTTTTGGCCGGTATCAGAGGAAACCCCAAAACAAGCCATTTGGAGACACTGACGTTGGGACCCACATTGCTACCTTTTACTTGCTCACGTTGGACACGTGTGACAATCTGAGGCTGCTGAGATTCGTGGACGCTGCGGTGGCCTTGAGCGGAGTCTTCTGAAGGAAATGAACATGTCAAGGGGTACCTGCGCGACAGGCAGAAGAAAGAGATCCAAGTTTGAGTTTCAGACAGTTAGTTGTTCAGCACGAGCGCCAACCTTTTGCGGTGTGTCTTGGAAACTGGGCATAGAGTGCGTGGGAGAGTCCGAACGTGTGGAGCGATAACGAGCGATTGTTTGTATAATTGAGTGAAGTGGTTGCCCCTTTGGTTGTGATTTGATGCGTCAGCCAGGGACACCTTCAAACAAGGGCTAACTTTTATCTTCCCTCTTTTGGCGCAACAGACGACCTCAAATCGTGCCACAGAGGGGCCGACAATTCCCTTGTTCAGAGGGGCCGCTAGTTTTCCACAAAGAGAGCCACAAAGGTACCGGTACTTGAGACGGCCAATCACGAATTGATCCACCAACCAGCTAAGCCAAGAGTTGCAGAGAGCTCGAGGAGTTGTGCATGTCTCGCCATTTGTTTGCGCCAATTGCAACGGGTTGTGTAAACCAAAGGGCCCGCAGTTGCCTCCCGTGTTTGCGTTGAAACCACGGGAGTTGTGACCGTTGCATGTGTGGGATTGACTTTAGAGACTGCCATTTTGGGCAACATGGTTCGGTTGCTGCCGAGTAGACACTGATGGCATTTTGAAGTTTGCGCCTGGGTGGAGGACTTTAGGCAACTGGAAGTGGCCCCCACTCCTTGCCCGATCGAAGAGACGACAGTGCAAGGCGGATGATGGCATCGTGCTTGTCATCTTGAGGTGCGCTTGCACGCCGTGTTTGCTGGGCTTGGACTTGAGACGGTGAATAGCCACCATCAGACTCCCAGCTGTTCGGCAGCCTCTTGCCTTTGTTGTTTGATGGGCTCTTCACTAAAAATGGTCGACTTTGGTCGATCCAGCACGGGTTCCCTTTTGCCATCCAAAGTAACTGGGCAGCTGAGTACTGTAGCACACTCACCCAAGTTCCACTTTCTTGTTTCGCTCATCCGCCTGTTGGCGCCAGGGTTGTTTGAAGACAGAAAAGGGGCACCGGCTGAACTTCGTCATGTTCACTTATGTAATTATGTGGCACTCTTTGATGCAAACTTGACAAGTCCATCGACCGAGCCCCATGTCACTCGACATGACTGGGCTCGGACTTTTTTGTTTATGGGCGCAAGCTCTTGGTGTTTACTGGCAACCAATCAAAGTGACCCCGGGTCGAACTTGTCCAGGGTGTGTTTCCTCCTCACCCGGCTCAGATGTCTGGGGACCACTGCTTTGGCGTGGGTGCCCAGTGAGACCCTCGCTTATTGGAAGGTCCCAGGTTGGGAAAGGAGACAATTTGAGCAAACTTGGCTTAAGCCACAGGACCATTGGGAGCATTGTGGAGAATAACACATGCAGATGTGGTGTAAATGGTGTAAACATGCTCGAGCAGATCCTTCTTCCGCAAGCATCTTTTTAGGATGCATGCTTTGCAGAAAGGACTGCATGCCTGGTTGCCTCCGCAAAACGCACCGGAGTCAGTTGTTGTCCTAGGTGTTGTTTCTTGATTCCTAGATGGTTTAATATGTTGGATGCCCCAAGTGATACGGTCTTTGTGACTGCATTAATTTCCTGCGCTTCTGACTATTTGATTTAGTGCCTGACTCCGGACGCCTGACTTTGAATGCAAGGAAAACAGTGTAATCAACACCCCATGTTTTGGAACAGGAACCTGACCCAAGACACGACATGCTACTAGTAGCAACATTTGGCAGACACTAGGTCAGAAACAGCACCCCACACCCAGAATGCAGGGGATGATTCCGTAGGCAGACACGCATTTCAAGTCAAGAGAGCCCCTACCATCTACACGCTCGACCGTCCTTGGCAGATGTGTACCTTTCGGTTCGGTTGACCGACCAAACAAGTTGCGTTTGGTGGTTAGTTTGCTTGCCATGTCTAGGGAACCCACCGTAGCTTTGTTTGCCCATGGCCGAGGTTCGTCTTGCATCGACCTCCGCCTTTGTGTAGGGCACTCAGCCACTCAGCCAGCCGAAGAGCCCCGAAAACCAAAAACATCAGCGCCGGCTTGGGCTTTGGGCTTGAGCCTTTTGGCGGCTCCAAAACTGCCGGCATCGGATCCCCGCACCCCGGCCCACCCCCCCCCCCCATTTTTGTTTTTTTCTCCCAGGACAGCTCGAGCTGAGGTCTTTTGGGTCTGACGTGTTGAACCTCCAAATGGTTTGGGCCGGGGCTCACCCCCTCTTTGTTTGCTAGGACAACTCAACAGTTCAGGTCTTGTGGCTCCGAAGTTTTGAAGCCCCAAATGGATTGGGCCGCAAAAAGATGCGGGGGCTTGAGGTCTTCGCGCCTGGGTGACGGCAGGCCCTCGGTCCTGCAGCGCTGGAAGCTCAGAGCGAGGGCAAACGAAGGCGCGGCAAACAAACAACTGCAGGTGGGTGTTCCAGCTTATTTCTGTTTTTTGGGGTTCCATGATCCATTTGAGGTCACTAGAAAGAAGCTGGTTTGTGGTTTGGTTTTTGTTTGTGTTATAGAAGCAAGCGCGAATGCCGCAATTGCAAAGACAATGCAGACAATGAATATCCAGTCAACAGAATGAGACATTGCTCCCGAAGCCGCAGCACAGAAACAGGGAATACTCTTTATTCTTTCCATTTGCCAGTCTCTGGGAGATACCAACCGCAAGCCCCACGCCCCGACCACACCAATCCTGACGAAGTTTGAGCAGGTTGTTTTTGTGGGTTTCATCGGGTCCCCTTGAAATCCAACAGGACAAGCCTTTCCTGAGGAACCACAAGGCATGTGTCGGAGCTTGTGGCACCCAGGCTACCTCTCCGAGCTTTTGGCAGGCACATCAGGCGGCACTGTCCGCCGCTTCTGTTTGGTTCCGGACATTTTACCAATCATCGCTTTCTCCCGGAAACGGCAGTGCGGCGGCATGGACACTTGAATGTCCGGGCGGATGCACTAAACCTGAGCCAGTTCCATGCATTTGGGGGGGGCCCACATTTGCATCCTTGGGTGCTTAAGATGCCCGCTGCCCAGATCCTGCTGCGTGTGTTTCGCTAGTTGTGAAGGGAACCTGAGCCTATCCTGAGCTTAATACATGCCCACCTCCATCCTCCTTCGACCTCCATCCACTCGTCGCCCCATTCACATACAATGGATTTGCTCGAGTCCACATTCACAGTTGTACATAGGGGTCTTGCTGATGTAGCAAGTCTGTGTCGGCTCCTTCTGGGGAAGACGCTTCTCCGTCCTATCGTGGCGTGAACAACACATGAGATGCGAGAAGAGCCAACAACTCCTTTTGGCGATGCAGCAAGAGGTTCCACTTTCTACATCTGGGCGGGATCATACTGAGACCTACCTGAATCCTTGAACGCCTTCTAAGTATGGGATGTGTTTTCGAAACAGAGACCCCACTGGTTGTAGTTGTCACCTCATCTCTTTAGAAACCTGAAGGAAATCCAGAAGGCGACCATCTTGGCTGGCTTTTAGGGATGAGCTAATGAGCAGCGCATGCCCGTTCTAGCACAATAAGTCAACCAATGGACATTCCAAAGCACCAGCCAGGGGAACTTGAATCTAAGCCAATGTGGGTGGCAAAGACAAGGCTTGAGCTTTTGGAGGATCCACGGAAGTGAGTGGAACCCAAAAACCGAAAGGGGCACTGCGGTTTGCTCGCTGGCTCAGGCTCCTCGGAGATGGGTGTGGAACCTCAGCTGGGGCTCGGTGTCATATGACGCCACCAAAGGCTCACTTTTTCAAGGCCGACCTTTCGACCTTTTCTGGGGTCTGTTTAAAAAGCGATTTTATACTTTGGGGGAAACGTAATATAAAGCATTGATTGAAAATAGACTTGTTGGGTGTACGCCAGATGTGGGGCAAGTTCTCGTCGCCAAGTTTTGGTCCATGTTTAGTGAAGGTTCCAACAGGTTCCCTTTTTCTGCTGGGTCTTTGTGGAAAGTGTGAAGGGGGTTGGGGCCCCCACAGAGAGATGCCCATAGTAACTCAAACGTGATCGCTCAATTGCACAGTTTGCGTATTCCTGTTTGTTGGAGGAAGGCAGCATTGTCGTTGTTCTGTTGAACAGCTACGCTGACGCAAGGTTGTAGGTTTGAGATTATGGCCACTTGCTGCTTGGCAATGCCTGGCATGACATGCGACAATTCACTTCCGTGCGTTTGTGCGTTCACGATTTTGACTTGTCAACGTATCATTTGCAGTTGGGTCGTGTGTTTGATTCAGAGGATTGACGGAGGCGCGATGTCCACTTTTGTTTCCCGAGAAGGCACTTGCACCATCTTTGTTCTGATGTTTTGACAATATAATATATTTAACAATTTTCTGATAGGTATCAGTACAAGCACAGCACATGTCAAGTTGCTTTCGGAAGCAACCACACGTTTGGTTCACTCCGGGTGTGTGTATTTGACAGTGGGAGGCTGCTTCAGTACGAGCGCGTAACGTGTACATTGCAATATCTTGTTTGTGGTGTTTCTTCCGGCTGACACATTTCGTGTCCCATGAAAACATGGAAATCTGCCGGCGAAACCACTAGAACAAGATATGTTGTTGTACAGCCGACGAGTAAGGTAACTTTGGACATTGGCAGGCGTCCTGCATGTTGAGTTTGTAAGTCAACACTGGGCACAGGGAGGTGCATGCAGGGAGAGTGTACTGGGTACTAAATAGCCATTTTGCTCACCCAAACGGAAAACATAGAAGTGCTGGATACATGTTTAGTTTTTTTCCAGACCCCCTACTTACCACCCATGATCAAGGTTATTGTGCCGTGCTTCATTGATTTTCCCGTGTTCATAATTAACATCCACACAATTTGTACGTTTACTGTTTGCTCACTTCCCACATGTCTTTGGACGCTACGCCTGGAAAACGCAAACAGCCGAGCATCGTTTTGGGGTCCACTCAACCACAGTTCAACACGCGCTGCTTTAGGCGCCCTGCCGACCCTGCGGGCGCTCAGCGCTGCGGGGGAGGGGAGGAGCCATTGCGAGGCGGCTGCAGAGGGCTGGGTGGGGCGCCTGTTGGGGGCGGGGAGTGAAATTATGGATTTGGACACTGGCTTTCCTCTAAGGGCAGGTGTGCGTGTGTGCGCGTGTGCGCGTGTGCGTGTGTGCGGGTGTGCGTGTGCCTGTGTGTGTGTGTGCGTGCGTGCGTGTGCGCGTGTGAGCATGCGTGCGTGCGTGTGGGTGTGGGTGTGGGTTTGGGTGTGGGTGTGGGTGTGGAAGGGTGTGGGTGTGGAAGGGTGTGGAAGGGTGTGGAAGGGTGTGGAAGGGTGTGGAAGGGTGTGTGTGTGTGTGTGTGTCTGTGTGTGTGTCTGTGTCTGTGTCTGTGTCTGTGTCTGTGTCTGTGTCTGTGTCTGTGTGTCTGTGTGTCTGTGTCTCTGTGTCTCTGTGTCTCTGTGTCTCTGTGTCTCTGTGTCTCTGTGTCTCTGTGTCTCTGTGTCTCTGTGTCTGTGTGTCTGTGTGTCTGTGTGTCTGTGTGTCTGTGTGTGTGTGCGCGTCCACGCCCACACGCACACGGCACGCGAACGCACACGCACACGCCCACGCGCACACGCGCACGCATGCATGCACGCGCACGCACGCACACGCGACTTTGTGAACACACGCGCACGCTCGCAAATGCTCGCAACCACACCCGCGTGGATGCGCACTGTCACATTGCATAGTACGCAGTGTGTGTGTGTGGGCGCCGCCGCAATTGGTTTGTTCTTTTGGACTTCAAGGGTCCGCCTTTTTTTCGGTCGGTTCAGAAGGCTCCTGGTGTTCAGAAGGCCCCCTTGTGGTCGGTTTATTGCCAAGTTGGGCGTGCCTTGTTTTGGGGGAACACCCTATTCGTTTGGGGATGTTTGCAAGCAAAGGGTTCCAATTCCTGGAAAAACACAGAACAAACAACTCCTTGTTGGACAAAGTCAATCCGAGCCAGCGCTCGTAGGCTCCTCTGCCCAAACTGTCCACGTCGTGACTACTGTTTGATAACAGTACGTGGCAATGTTGGTGAAAGCAAAGGTAATTCAGCACACATCAAGGCATATCACTAGGGTGAGGTTGCACCTCACAGCTTTGTGTGGTTGCTATGTTTTGCACAAAAGAGAAAGGGGTTTGTCTCAAAACTAAGGAACCGCGCCCCCAAACAACAAGGGCTTCCTTTTTGTTTCCCTTTCAAAATTATTGTTTAAGGTGAAGCTATATTAGTTGTTGACAAGACAGGACCCTTTGGATGTAGGCTCCAGATTTGAGATGATCTTAGTTGAGGCATAGCGTTGAGCCCAAGATTCAACCACCCTGTCGGGCTTTGTGAGGATTGACCATGTTGCGTTGCAGCTTGCTTCATGTTGCGAGTAACTTGGCCCTGCTTGTAACAAGACATGTTTCAGGCGTAGCTAGGGCTTGCCTGACCGAGCCTCGAAAGGTTCAACCTTGTTGTCGGGCGAAAACAGTCGGTGTTTCAGTGTTTGTTCTATTTGACACAGAACTCGGCTTTTATCATCTTGTTTTGGGCTTTGTGGTCCTGTTTGTCATGGCCCGGGCGAGCTTGCCAACAAGCTTGAATGTTTTGCAGCTCGCGAAGCTGGGAAGAGGTGCTGGGGCTGGCGCTGCTGTTGGCTACGGAGAAGGCATCCTGCCAAGGCGCAGGGTTTGCAAGGCCGCAGAACTCTCAAACTTTGAACTCAACGAAAGCTGCCCCTTTTACCATAGCCACAGGAGGCCTTCCGATCGGTAAAAGCGCCATGGCTTTGTATCCGGCGCTGAATGTTCACGATAGAAGCGAAGAAGTGTCCAGTTGGGCCTCACCCAGCCAGTGGACACTTCACACTTTTCTCCTTGGTGGCTCTCCCTGTATTTTGGTGGCCCAAAAAGTGTACACTTTTTTTTTGGCTCTGGCCAAGTGAGGGGAGGCCCGGTTCTTGGGCTCCGAGATAGGTTCTGGACGAACTTTTGCGGACAGGGAAAAATGAACAGGGCTCCTTAAAAGATCTCCATTTTGCAACCATTTGAAGCATGTTTGCTTGTTCCGCCAGAATAAAGGGAAACCACCATTTGCAAGGCAATGTTCAGGTGTATAATGTATGGATCCCTGATGAAGCTCGGGCACGGCTCTTTTCTTGGACTGCATTGAGATTTGAGAGCCATTTGATTTGTGAAGGTGTGCATGTGTTTGTTCAATGGTGCAAGACCCCGGCCAATGCTGGAGAATGCGGGTGAAAGACCGGGACCCATGCCAATTTCTTTGTTGGCCCTGCAAGGTTCACCCAGCTGTAGGGGCCTGCTCCCATCGAAGGACCCGTTCCGAATTCCACGACCGAACCTTAAGAGAGCTCCAGGCTTCAATCGTGTGTCACAAAAGGGACTTTCTTGCAGGACGGCTCAGAAAGGGCCACCCTATCCTAGTTGGAGCGAAGCCATGTTTGAGCTGACGACAGGCTCGGCTCAAGAGCTTATCCAGGGTAGAGATACCATACGGGTATGTGTCATAATTTGGGGGGGGGGGGGGGACACCCTTAAACCAACCTGAAAAGGGTACCCTCACACAAATCTACCGCCCAGATCAACATCCCCTGGCTGACTTGAAGTTGAGGGCGCTCCTGTGATATCTGGCAGATCTGCCGGTGGCTAGATGCCACCATTTTGGCAGCCAACGATCCAGCCATATTGCAGGGCGTGTAAAGGAGTTTGCGGGGAGATTGATCGATGAGTGCTATTGGCTTAGCGGACATTAGTTGTGCACAGGGTGCGTGTTTTTGTTTGTTTGTAAAAGTATATTGAGCAAACTTATGGCCTTGGTGCCAGAATGCGCACCCGCCGCAGATGTTGCATGATTTGTGCTTATCCCCAGGTGTAGTGGTTCTCCTCACGCTTTGCTGGACGCTTGTTGTATCAAGTTGTTTGATTGTGCTGACAGCATGATGCTACCAGAAAACGGCTCTTTGTTGTTTTGCGGACTGGATAGATTCCGCTTGCATGTTTTCTGAGAATCCGATGCTCTGATGTGCTGCGCTGATCTTTGATCGAGCTCTGCACGGCCGCGCCAGATGTGGCGCGCATGTTCTTGGACGCCATGTTCAGCTGCTAGCTGAGAGAAGGAGTGATGCACATGGGTGTGCCTTTTTTTAGGTGACCCACAAATGGTGGTTGTCCTTTGGGTTTCCCTTTGAAAACCAGCTAACATGACACTTAGGGGGGCCTGCAAGAGGACATTAATCCAAGTACCCTCCCACAGGTGCTGGGTTAGATGCTGGGTACCCCCCCAGCAATAAGTCATACCTACGAATTGCACTGGCACCTGATGCACTGATGCCTGTGGCTTGGTAAGCACATACCGTGAAACGCATGTCAGAGGCGTTCACTTGGCAGGTGTTTGGCAGTGGCAGGACGTTGTCCATCAGTCATCAGTCATCAGAATCTGCAACTGTTCGATGGCACGCTCTCTGACTGCCTCATTACGGGGCACGTGCATGGGTTCCAACTTGCCATCTGCAAACTGGCGGGCCAGCTTCTGTTTCTTAGTTTCTTCGTGCTTGGCACGTGCTTCGTTTGGGCTCTCATGTTTTAGCAAGCATATTGGCATGAGCTTCCCCAAAGGAGCACATCGATGGATCAATGGATAATTCTGTGATTTCTCCAGCCTCCCCTACTCACAATGTGATCAGCAAGCACCCAAGAGGAAACCTGCGGGCTTTGCAGAATGCCATAGGAGCCCAAATCTTGGACGCCATATTCGAATGCATTCCGGGAAATGGGGCCCAGCTTTGTGATATCAAGGGAATCCTCGTCGAAGTGACAAATAGTCTCAGGGATGGCCCAGATTTGGTGAAAGCGTTGTGTTCTGGCACAATCGTACAAGAAGCAACATTTTTTGGCCCAGTTTGTCCCCCAGGCAGCACTATGACAACACCCTCGGGCCCCCACCCCCTCAAGCTTAAACAGGATTCCTGAAGCCCGAGATTCGAGTTCCCTCGGAGACAGACGCATCGAGGCTGGGAGCTGCAACGTCGTGAAAGGCCCCGCCGAGAGGAGGCTGGGATCGAGGAGCCTTGGTCCCGGCGTATGGGGCCGAAGTCTGGCCTCCCCAAACCGAGAAGCCCAAAATGGGCTGGGCTGCCAAGCACTCGGTCACAAACATTGCCAGACTTATAGCGTTTGTCGGGTGTTTAGTTTTGCCAGGGTCCACTTGTGCTGTTTTGGTCTTCCTTCATTTTCCCTTTGAACCAGCAAACAGTGGGCTTTTGTGACGGGTCTAAGTCCGGCCCAGAACATGGGACAGTCTTTTTGTCGAAGTTGATACCCTTGGGGTGGGACGGTATGGGAAAGCGCATGGACAGCAACTGCTACGGCCTTGAAGGCCCTGGGAAACACTGCATGTGCCACTGTTAAAAGACCCTCTTGCTTGGGTGGTCATCAGCATCAACTCCTCAGGAATTTAAAACAACACTACTACAAGGGTACCTATTCAGGCCATCATGTGACAATGGCCCACAGTTCCGGAGTTTTGATCATGGCACATATAAGCCGGTGGGTAGAGGTTTCCGAGCACCAGTCAGATGTTCAAATCTTGAGTTCTCGAGTAGGTCTGCAGGTTTGCCATGCCTCGTGTGTCGGGTGCAACACGGGTTTGCGATGTTTGCCAAAAGGGGTTGCGCTGACATCTTTGCTGTAACTTGTCCAAAGCTAGCCTGTTGACGTGGATAATTTGTTCAGCCACCGCTTTTATGGGCCAGAAGACAGTCACTTTTGCATGTCAACGGGACAAGTGAGTCACAGGAGGACATATCAGCCCCCGATTGGCTTGTGGATGTGTTTCATTTTTAGGTATCCTTTTTCGGGTTCAATGGGGAATATGGGAAACCGTCATTGAACTTTCGCGGCCTTTCAACGATCGAGTTGCCTTTGGAGGCTTGGAAAGCAGCGGATGAGCTGCTGACGGCCCTGACTTCGCCTGAGGAATGTGGGGTTGTCTCAAAGCAGGGCCCCCCAAAAAATGCATGGTCTTCTTTTGGGCTTTCCTATTCGCGCCCACCAAAAAGCCGGGAACCACCCCCCCAATATTGGTTTGATACTTTGCTTTTGAAGTGAAGAGGAGAAAGTCATAATTTCCAGGTCAGCTATGCTGAGACATACGAGAGTCGTAGGGTGCGTGTGTGCGTATGTGTGCGAGTGCGATTGCACCAAGCCATGCTTGAAGGGCATCAAAATATGGCAACCCCGTAAATGGTGGTTTCCTGGTTTCCTGGTGGCTTCTTTCTAAGCCAAGGTGAAACAGGTACCAAGAAACACCCAGACAGGGCTTTGAGTGCTCCGAGGTTCGATGCGCGGACGGACGGTGGCCGGAAGCTCCTCCAGATCACCACACAGGAGCACGGCGCACGAAAGTGAAGAGGACCTCAAATTTGAAGGTATTTGGGGTCTTCTCCAAGCCATTTTATTTATATTCTAGGGTGGTTTTTCGACTAAATACAACAAGAGACCTGGGGGCCCAAGCCCCAGATTCTAGGCACCCTTCTGAGCAGGTTCTCAGGAAAGGCTGAACTGCGTGAGCGTGTCGGACCCTATTTGGCCGTGGGTCAAAAATAGGTACCCAAAATGGAACCCTGGTTTGTGGAAACATGGACCAAAATCTGCGGTCCCCTCTTGGTTTCATTTTGACCCACACCGACTTGAAAACTTATGAAAGGAGGTGATAAGCCAACATCTTGGCTATTAAACTCAAGGCGTACTTTTTCAGCATGCCGCAAGATCGGTTGGGACCCTTCATCCTGGTTCTGGACTGTGGAGGATTCATGAAAGCCAACAGCTGGTCTATGCTGGTCTGCTTGTGGTTTGCTTTTTTGCGCCCAGACCCACCGGCGCCCTGTTTTCCTTCTGCCGTTTTTTTCTCCTTTAATTCTGCCAACAAACAGTTGCCTCACTGGGTTCTGGGCTTTCAAAGGGACCCTCCGATGCCCGCCTATGCGGATGATTCAGAGGCCATCCGGCAAGCTGAGAGCGACCTGGACGCGCTCATCGAGGCACAGGCTGAGACGTTGCCCCTTGGCGAAGTCGAAAATTCGGCGTCCGAAGGTCGACCCCGGAGAAAGGCCCAGTTCACCCACAGTAAAACTCTTGTTGTTTGGTGGCTTCCCCACTAAAAGTGCTCAACCCCCGAACGAATTCCTTGCATGGATGTGCACCAAATCCGGGGTTTGGGATAGTATTGAAATGGCCGCCAAAAGGATCCCGCCCAAAGAGTTCTCCGACTTCTATCGAACACCCATGTCTTGAGATGTCTTGAGGATGTCCCATGCAAGAGAGACTTCTTCACTTTCGTTGTTCCGTGACCCTGGTAACCTGGTGGAAGAGATAGATTCGGGAGACCTGGGAGGGAGGAAGGAGGGAGGGAGCGAAGAAGGAGGACGCCTCGTGGCCTCCGGATTTGGCTTTGATGGTGATTTGTGGAAACTGCCCTGACACAAATATCACACTAGAAGTAACCTGACACGTCCTTTGAAGACCACCTGCCTTTTGGGGACCACCTGGGTGATCCATTTGGGGCAAGCTCACATGTTTGGCTGCCCCTAATTTCGACATGTACCCAAATAGGCACCCACCACTCACATGGTTGCTCCTTTTGGATTTGCTTGAGACCAGCCAACGGGGGATCCCTTATTTTGAGAACCCCCAACTGCGCCACGCCCAGGTTGTCTTATTGCGGCCAGGGCTACGAGGCAGGAAGCGCTTGGCTGATCAAGACTAGCCCCAAGCCTGTGTGGGTGGGTGTGTGCGTGCATGGGCTGGCGCGCCAAAGGGATTCGCTCATTTTCTGGGTTGCCGTGTTTTGAGACAAAGCCAAATCCGAAGCCAACAGCTCGTGCCACCTTGACTGAAGTTGGACTCATGGAAAAACCGATCTTCTTCTTGGGATTGGACACTTTTTCAGGGGGATCCTGTCTTTCCAACACCTGTTCTTTGGCCTCCATTTCGTCTTTTGGTTCTTTGGCCTCAAAACTGTTTGGGAGTCGAACAAATTCCCTCGTCGCAGGGCTTCCTTCCGTTAGCGGTTCAGGCAACGGCAAGACAGCGCTCCGCTGCAGAGTTCATCCGTCGCCGGACGCATGCCTTCACGTGGGGGCCCTTGGGGCAATGTCGACCCCGGATCACCCGGGACTCGTAGATCTCTGTTGCCCAAAGCCGACCTTGTGACCTTTTGGTTTCTCCTTTTTGGTCTAGTTTTAGTCATGGCCCCAGAAGGTTAACCTTTTATTTCTGGGTCCTTTGGGCAAGTGAGAGATTGATCGGGGGGGTTGCCCAACAAAGTGGAGGAGTCCGACTCTTAAATAGAAAACCCCCTATTAATCAACTAGTTGTGTTCTCCTGGCTTCCTGATTGCCGGTATGTTCCCACGCTCGCTGGGGTTAAACAACACCTGTTACCATAGTGACTCGCAGTCGAGCTGTGAACGTGAATCACCTCTCTAAAGCGTCTTTTTAGACTACCGGTGTAAGCACCCTCGCGTGGGGAGCGGTTACTACAATGCAAGCATGGAATTTGAACATGGCATGCAGTGGATGCAAATATCTCGGTTTGCAAGGGCAGCCTGGCTCGTGTTAAGGCAGTTTCTGCGCACATGGGTGCACCTTAATGTATGTAGCACCAGAATTAGGCAAATGTGCTTCAGCACCCATACCTTGGCCACCTTTTCAGGGCGAACCGGCAGGTTTGAGTAACCAGGGGTTGGCTCAACCTATGTGGGGCCCCTTCTCAGCCCCTGTGCCTGCAGCATGTCGATGGTCTCACACCCCAGGCGCATGGCGGCTGTCGGCGCGCCTGTCTGGTTTGAACATGTCTACGAACCAACTCCCTGAGCTCCTGACTTTACATTGCTTTTGGCTAGTGCCCTTTTACCCTTTTTGGGGGAGAGCTCCCCTATTAAAATAGATTGCAGAAAAAGGGTACCCTTATTCTAGCCTTTCTACTGGAGGACCTAGCCTGACTTGACATTGCTTTTGGGAAGGCCATGTTTGTTGGCAAACCCAAATATTAGACCTCTTTTCGCCAATCCACTCAAGAAGTGAGCGAAAGAGTCTCCCTTCTTCAGAGCAATGACTAATTGCTTTTGTTGGCATTTGAGGTCCCACAATGACCCCTTTGGTTGAAGAGCTTTGGCGTCTCTTTCCACCGTGCCAAATTTAGAGAGGCCTTTGAATGGGTAGTGGTTTCATGGTGGCTCTCTTGAGAACCGTCTCAACTCGGTGTGTCTCTGAAATCCGTAAGCTTTGCCTCGGACCCAGCCCTTTTGCGAAGCCAAGGGGGCTGAAGCTTGCAGCCCAAGCAACAAAGCACATGCAAGACCGCCTGCGTGGAACCAGGCTGAAAAGTCCCTTACACGGGAAGCTTTCATGGTACCTATCATGGGCCCTAAATAGAACCACCACTGAATCGTGTGGAGCATCGTGGAGTGGGATTCTGGCTGTCGCGCCTTTTCTGCTCTTTTGCTGCAAAACGAAGCGCGAATTTGCATGTTGCTCCCTTGTAGTAAGAAATGCGTGCATGTGTTTGTGTGCGTGTGCCATTGGGATCATTACAAGCTGATCGTGAGCCAAGGGTCACCTCAAATCAACTGAGAGAACACTCGACCAACTTCTCACTTGCATTGTGCGTGTCAGGATCTGACGACACAATGCAAGCTTTGGAATCCGCTGTCAACTCCCTAGACGACACCATTCGAGGATATGACCAGGCGGGCACAAGATTCTTTTGCAAGCCCCGCTGATTTCCGGGGTTTGTTCCGACCGCATGTTTAGTGGTTCCAAGCCGGCCCTCGTGATAGTTGTCCTTGTCTCCGTCCTTAGTCTCAACGCTGGTAACTAGCAGCATTAAAGCTTCCACTTTGTTTGGCCTTTCTTTGGTTGAGCTTGTTACTAGAAGATGAGTACAGGGCCGGGCACCACCAAGATTCAACTTGATGCCGGCCTCGTTGAGGCAAGCCTTTTGCATTGTCGTCTATGCTAATCACTCAGAGTGGGGGAAAAACGCGTGCCGGGTGAAAACGCGGCCCTAAAAAAATGCAGGGAAACGCGCTGAACCGCAGAGCATGCGAAACGCAACCAACATAGAAAAAGCACAGTAAGGTTCTATTTTGTGCTGGATTTGTAGGCCACACTGCGGCTTGTTTGGCTTGTTTTGCTTTTTTCTGGGTCCCGAGAAAAGCAAAAAGAAAGGTTTGGGACAAAGGAGGCAGATTGTTTGTAGGTGGATGTGGGCTTTGGCACTTTTGAAGGGGTTTGCTTTTTTCCTCTCCAGAAAAAAGCAACACCGGGAGATTGGCACCCCCGAAGCGTTTTGCTTCTTTCCTCTCCTGAAAAAGCCAAACCGGAAGACTGTCTCCCATTTAATTGGTGTCCCTTGCTTCAAAGCCTAAGAAAGCAAACCGTAGGATCTGCGACTGTGTTCTGTCTCCATTCATGTACCCTTGCCGGGCGGAAACGCAAAGAAGCGAAACGCATTGAACACGCACACTGAAACGCACACGAAATGCGCTGAAACGCACTAATAGTGAAACGCGCCAGGCGGACCCACTTACCTAATCACCCCACAGGTTTGCGGAACACGGGTTGCAAAGGCTTGACTCGACACACTTGCAGCCATTTTAGCACGGACAAACATTGTCGATCCTTTCGGGGGGAATTTTAATTTGTCATCCGTTGGCACATGGCCAACAGAGGGTTGTCAGGTTTGTGTTGCAGGGTGTCATCAACCGTGGAGGCCCCAACCGAAGCGGTCAATCATTGCTTGCCTCTGTCTTATTCGAATCCACTCCCTCCCAAACCGCCAAAAGCCGAATAACTAGTACCTTATTTGTAAGAAACCTAGTATTTGTGTACCCTCCATAAAGAAACCTAGTACAACTAAAAAGCCGAATAACTAGTACCCTCCATGTGTATCCTGTGACTTTTAGCACTTGCGGACCCACTGCTCCACACATCAACAACCCTCGGGCTGGTTGGGTTGCGAGAGGGAGTCTTTCACTGACCCAACCCTTCAGAATGAGCAGCCGGGGTCGTGCTTCGTGGGTTTTCTTGAACATGAACCAAAAAGGGTGACTGAGGCAAGGAAACCAAGAATTGCCCAGTCTACGGCTCCCCTGCTTGAAGGTGGCGATCCCTGAAAAACCAGGTTTGTCTCCAGTTTGAGACCCCAATTCTCGGTCAATGCCCTGCTTTCCCCTTAAACCAAGCCCAAGGGTACCTTCCAAAGACATGCCCAACGGAACCGGCTGACGTGCCGCTGTCTCGTGCGAGGAGGGCTACACCCTGGTTTGTCCGCAGCTTGCTGGAGCCCCGGGCGTTGGTTTGAAGGCCCAGCCCAAGTCGAACATAAGCAGGTTGTCTACACAACTGGGGTCTGCTTTGAATACGTTTTACATCTTAGACTCACCCAGGCACGGTCCTTAGAACAAGTACCTGTTTGTTGGTTGGACAAACGCTGATTTAACGGGTGTCACAGAACAAATTCACCCAACGCTTTGCAATCCCTTTGCAGTGAACTGAGCCAGCCGAGTAGAAGCTCCAAACGAAGCAGGGAGCTTTGAGGCCCCGTTTCCGGGCCCCGATCCACCGGACTCACAGAAACCGGCGCAGAATGTTGGCTAGCATCTAGGAATTGCAGCCGTCTTGCAAGCTTCCTCAGGGTTTCCCGAGAATGAGCCCCGAATGAGAAGCCCTGAATGGTGGCTTCTGGGTTGCTGGTGGCAGCTTAGGGCCAATCCCATGATGACAGGAACTGAGTAAATCCTAAGTTGCGAATGTTCGAAATTTGGGATGTGTTATTTGCAGGAGCAAATCCATGCCATGGTCAAAGCACCCAGTTCCTTGTTGGTGAGGATGGTTGTGAGCTGAGAAAACCTGTGCAAGAGCAACAAGAAACAGTGTAAGGGTTCATGGCTGTGGGTCAAAACCAATGGTACCATTTTGGGGTAGGTGCACCACTCATTTTAGCAATTTTGGTGGTTGGATTGGGATGTTCACTGGTACGATTTGGATTTTGACCCATGGCCACATGGGTTCCCCGCAAGGGCGCCATGACGAGCGCCTCAACGAGTTTGCTGGCCACTTCTGTGCACTCAGCCGTCGCAGGGTCGCCCGAGGTCGGCTGGCGGTGCCTCCGGAGGCTCGCGAGTTGGCCCCAAAGGGGCGTGGGAAGTTTAGGGTTCTTCACCGCTTTCTGTAGAACCAGAAAAAGAAGAAGAAAAAGAACACATTGAAAGTGACAAAGTGTTTGGAATCAAGCCACTGTGGCACAGAAAGCTCAGTGGTCCCACTGAGAGTCAGTGGGAGGTTGCGCTAAACATGATTCTTTGGGTACCATTTAAAACTTCAGAGGAGTATTTCGCACAGCCACGGCAGATGAGCACCTGGATGGACAATTGTGGGGGGGGGGTCTTGTCCCGTTTGAGATTGGTCTGTCAAATTGATTCATCCGGGCTTTGTGTTTCGGTCACAATGCAGAGTACACTTTATCCAGGCATGACGTCGTAAAGGAGGGCGGGCATTTCGGGAGTATTTGAAGGCCAACATCTTACATGTCCATTGTGAGAACAGTAAATGTCCGCAGCTAGTGATTTGCATTCGCCAGTGTCACACTTGTGGCTAGTGCTCCGAAGGGGCAAACTCTCGAGTCCGCGTCGCAGGAGGAGTTTGCCTTACGAACACTGGTGGGCTGGGGCGCCGAGTTTCGTTCACGTGCCAGTTAGACCCAGGAGGGAAGGGGGAAAAGTGAAGCCGAGGATTGAACGCTTCCCATGAACAGGTGGAGTTCTGAGGGAAAGTATAGGATCATGCCCTTGATGGTTCAATCGCTTCATCCTAGGTTTCTTCCAGTCAAGCCTTTTTTATAGCTGAGTTTGTCAATGGCCATTATTGGTTATCCCGAGAATCCATGTTCATCAGCTGTGGCAAACACTTTGCCACAAGCGCGGCTTGTTGGCTGCAAGTCCTGGCTTTCGGCCCGGGGCATGTGATTGTCGATATGCGCATGGTGAAAAGTCAAATGACACCCTTTGATTGCGGTTGGCAGGGCTGGTCCCATTTTGCGGAAGAAGCAAAGGGTATGAGAGTCTTGGAACCGTTGCAATTTGAATAACCCTCAACTGTTTTGCTCCAGTTGTGATGTTGTAGCGCAATGCGGATGTTGTGAAGTCTGGATTTGGATTTGGTCTTGGGGGCTGTCGATCCAGCCGAAGTCTTCTTATTTTGAGACTTGGCATCCAGTGTCGGGTACTTTTGCTTCTGGTCAATAATGAAACTTTCCTTGTAGAGGCCTGCTGCCTTTGGCTTTGGGTCAAAACCAATGGTACCATTTTGGGGTAGGTGCACCACGTATTTTAGTCTATTTTAGTGGTTGGATTGGGATGTTCACTGGTACGATTTGGATTTTGACCCATGGCCACATGGGTTCCCAGCATTTCGCCACAGGCAGTGCAAGCTTCGCTGCCTCCTTTGGCCTCGTGGGACGGTCCTCGCACATCAGATTTTATTTGTGGGCGCCCGCGGCCTCAGTGCCTGAGGTCCGCTTGGACGGGCCGTTCATGGGCCGCCCACTGGAAGCGCCGACCGCTCTGTGCATGTGAGGCGTGTCTCATCTTCCCCGAGCCGATGCCACTGGAGTCGCAGCCATGAAGCTTTTGCCAGCCTGCCCAAACGCAAGAACTTTCCCTTCTGAAGATGCCTTGGAGATTCTGTTGTTTCCATTGGCCATAGTAAATTGCTGGAGCTCGTGCCTCTTTGGACCTGTCCTTTTCCCAGTTGGTGGCATGTCGCAGGCCAAAACAGTCGACCCTTCCGGTCCTTTGAAAGTGAGAACCGGGTTTGATGGAGTTTCATCCAGGGAACTTGTAGAAGCCAGGCGGCAAAAACATGCAGAAGCAACCAGTTGCTATGATGATAGCAGTCAGAGGATGCTTTGACTACTCTTCTTGTTCGAACCATGGCGTACCCCATTGTTTCCCGGTTTCCCTAGCGGTTGAACCAAGCAGCCCCTTCAAGGGCAATTTGGCGAGCTGATGCTATGTCCCTCAACCGAAGCTCTGGGCGTCAACTGTTTTGGGCCCATCAGGGATGGCGTCAGGGGACAATGCAGGATGTTTGCAGCGGGCAGGCTGTAGGAGGAGTTGATGTTCGACAAATCAGCGGGCGAAAGACGCTTCAGGGCGACATGAACCCGACAGCCTATATCTTAACCGTGCATGTATGCAAAGCCCATCTTCCGGCAGGATTCTGACCTGGCACTGCCTGTTTCCCTGATGTTTACAGTTTTTCACGTTTGATAAACTTCTGCTTCAACTTACCATCTCCTTCCCTTCTTCCCGAAGACGCATCAAAAAAAGTGAAGCGGAGGGAGGGGGGGGATATCCTGTTCATTTCTGGCTTGCACAGCTTTGCAGGACTGCGCCTTTGAGCTTCCGGCTGCCAAGGACCTTGCGCTGATTGGCAATATGTTTGAGCGGGACCCTTGCTGCACGGCTTTCAATGATTAACAACCCAAGTGAAACCAACACAATAGGACTCTAATGCTATGAGGCTGAGATGATGCCACAGTTTCAGAGCAAATTTCGCAAAGCTGGTTGCGGAGTCACATCATGCGCATGACCTCGCGGCCATAAACAAGGTCATCCAGCTTTGCTGCTCCTTTGATGGAGTTGGCCATGTTTTATGGCGAGACTTACTGGCAATACCCACTTGCGCAACAGCCATGGCAGAGATGTGACATCTTTGCATCAAGTGGCCGCCTGACGCCGTCTGTGGAGCCTGGGGCTCCCGGCTACTGGGTTTTGCTACCAATGGAAAAGGAGCCAAGGCGGGGTGTGTAACAGTAACCCAAGCGAAGAGACGTGTAAAGGGATGTTGAACCCGTTCCTCCGTCACATCAATAATCCACAGAGAAGAATAGAATTGTAGGTGAAAGAGATGACAGTCAACGACCAACCGTTCCTTCCGGCACCTTCGTTACACCTCAAGTAACTTCACCAAAGCAATATCTAGGATAGACAAGTTACGAACGAAGGAGAAGAAAGAGATAAGAAAGCAAAATATAAATAAATATTAAAATGAGATAGAAATATAATAAAATAAGATGATAATAATGGAAAAGAGAGTCCACAGGGAAGTTCATGCCCTTCTCGCCTGGTAATCAGGGTTAGCGAGTAAACGATAGAAATGACGGAGAGAAACTTCCAGCATGCTACACCTCTATCACTCTTTCCTGCATCTTATCTCTCCCAACCTTATCTTTGCCAACATTATATGTCCCTAAAGATGGGTCCCGCCCGGCGGTGGCAAAGGGTTGGTAAGGATGATGAAGGAATATGAGAAAGGAGAAAGAAAGAGTGAATTAATATGTAAAAGAAAGGGATTCTATCTCTTAATCCTGGCATTTCACCAACTATTTATCTCTCAAATCCATTCTCCATATCCTGTCTCTTTACCATGTGTTCCAGGAATTATTAACTCCCGAAAGTTGAGGGGCTAAGATAAGGTTATTACAGCATATTGGATAACTCTCTAGAAGTAGGATATGGAAAGATAATTAGAAATGGAAATGTGTCCAAGAATCCACGAGTTACAGGGAGTTGATAGGAAGGACACAATATAATATTTCTTTTACTTTCATTTGCTATTACGACGTGGAACGGAGGCAATCATTTCTATATCCTGGACGCTGTATCCTGTCGGTGGATGATGGTAGAAAAGCTGTCCATTAAATCCCAAATATTTGCCAAGCGAAGGCATTCTTCTTAGGAATCGAGAGACTCGTCTTTTCACCTACAATCACGTTCCTTTTCCAATATTAATCTGTTGGAGGTATAATGAAAGAGTGAATGACCTGCAGGACTTGGAAGTAGAGGCATTATTTTCTCTTGGTCATGGGATTTCTCATATAGTAACCTCACCCATTCTCTCCAAGGCAATCTTCAGGTGTCTCCATCTAATGCTTTTCTACACGGCTTGCCATGGCATGTAGATCCTAAGGAAGATAACGACCTGGAAAGAAGGCTATCACTTCACTCTCCATCCGTCCTTCTCTCCCCTCCAATTCTCGGGGTTAACGGACGAGATAGGGAGGATGTAGGGTGTAGAGGGACGGCTTCTCGCCTATCATTTCCTTTATTCTGGATTGCTTGGTTATAAGGCATGACTTCACCAGTGAAAGGAATGGATGAGGGTGTGTGAGTTAGAGGCTTTCATGCCAGGCATTCTTCACTCCATCACACACTCTTCTATCCTTTTCCTTCATCCACCCCTTATCCTTCCCCAGCTCTTGAATTGGTTGGGAGCTGAGGATAAAGGAAGGTGGATTAGGGAAGGAATAGGAAGGTAAAGATAATGAAAGAAGAGACGAAGGAAGTGAGGACATGCCTTTCTTCTCCCAACATGATGTTGTGCACCAGATGATCACTCCTGCGTAATATGGAGTTTAGGCAATCAACGGAGTGATGACCACAGAATTGGCGGAGTTTTGCACGAAGAGGTGCAGGTTCAGCATTGCGACTGAGGGGTGACCTAAAAGGCCCTTAGGTCCGAAATCGGAATCAGTTTTTCTTGTTTGATCCCTCAGTCGTTCCTGCTGGTTCAACATTAGGTTTGCCACCGGAACCAAAGGAAGCCCCGACATCAAGGCTCACCTGTCTTTTTGTTGGAAGTAGTATATCAGGGGGTCAATTTGCCTGGCAGTGTTTCAACAGAAGCACATTGAAAAGGATGCCCAATTCTGTGGTGCAAGGACTGCCACAATTGTGTTTGTTTCAGCATACCTCCTTCTTTCTGGTTGGTTTTAGAGGCAAAGCTAAAGGACACCACCCCTAACTAGGTGTCCCCCTAGTTCGACGCATACGCATTATTGCAGGGCGCCATTTTGACAGGATTGTTTTTGCGTATCCCGTGTTGTTCATGTTTTTGTTCTCAGTCCGTTATTTGTCTTTGCTTTTCCGGCTTTTGGCTTTTGAGGCCTTTCCAGTTCCCCCCATTTACATTTGTGCAGGCATGACCTGCCAAAGTCGTCTTAAACGAACACTGAATCGCACAAATGCACGGGCCAAATGGGCCAAGCGTGAGAACAAGTACTCCGGTCTACTCTATTTTTGAATTGCCGGTTTGTAATCAGGTTGTTTCACAACATTCCTTGCAAGCGCATTGTGCCGTGATTTCACACAGCCGTGAGTCCCTTTTTGCCAAGTGAATGTATTTCGCCGGAGTTTCAGCAGTCCACAGCGAGCGCTTGGGCGATTGATTTTCGCGTGCAAGCTTTTAAGGCCAGTCCACAGGACGCACGTGGATCCGTTCGACCGTTTCGAAAAGAAAAACAGAGGTGGTGAGGGTCGAACCACAGGAAGCTTTGCCAGACTTACAATGTGGTTCTCGTCCATTTACGGGGGTAACAATGTTGAGGAGCTATTGTATAGCACTCGCATCAGACACGGAGGGGAGCGGTAGTTGTTGATCCTTTAATCTTTTTTGCCTGTTCCAAGGAATTTGAGGACTCCTTGTGGGAAACAACCTGAAGGGGCTGAACAGGGGCGTCCAAATGCAAACCCCCAGCCGTGTTCTACTCTTCTTCGAAAGTCAGGCTGAGTGCACGTGGACCCTGACCACCTCAATGTTCCTGCAAGCTATGTGTACATAGAAGATGCGTGCGGCCAGCACCGAAGGGCGGCGAAGATTGCCAGCCTCAAAAGAAATAGTCCGCTTGTTTGTTCTTCTTATTGCCTGGACGGTTTGATTTGCGGATTTCTTGGTTTGCTCTTGGTGAACAACTCACTCCCTGACTCTTGCACTTGATCCTTTTGTAAGATCAACTTTAGTGGCAAGCAACAAGTCTTGGACTTTTCTTCACCAACCCACTAAGGTGAGGAAAGATCCGCCGGCGGAGATTTCGGCAATTCCCGGAATGTCTCACCGAGCCCAAGGCCCAGGGCTGGCTGCGCACACGCACCCCAAGTCGGCCGCAGGGTCCATTGGAGTTCCTGGTTGAGCCAGCATTGGAGTCGGGTTGCTGGATGGTAGTAAACAAGGTACGAAAGGAAACAATCCTATATAGTGCTTTCCCGGTGTTAGGATACCAATTTGTGTTTTAGTTCATGAATTCCTGGAGGCAAGATCTTTTATCATGTGAAAAATCACCGATCCACTTCCAGATGCAGAGTGTGAAGATTATCATAGAGTATCCTTTGCCACTGGCGGTTGCTTTGAGGAAACGGGTGTTCGAATCCTTCAGAAGCCCCCCCTGTTGTTCTTCACAAGTTTTACATACGAGATCCAGTTGCTTGGCTTGCTGAAAAACCTGCAAGCACACCTTATAGAAACACACCAGTTGGAGCGGTGGAATTGGGCAAAGAACTAGCCTCAACCCTGAAGAATGTCACTTCCAGACTTCCAACGGCAAAGACAGCAGCCCTTTGGCAACTAGAGCTGAATTAATCATTGGGGACACTTCTTGAAGCGTAGTTGGCGAATTCTGGTGATCTGTTCAGACACAAGAGCTTCTCGACGAAAATCGATGGACGTCGAACCCGTGTTCGATTGACAACTTGGTGACTAGTCGAACAGGCGGTGCGTTCTTTCTTCTGTCCTGTCCAACACCGAACTTGATCAGCTTGACGCTCCTATTTGCTGTACCCAACATTTACTTCAAGCAGGATGAACCTGTCTGCCCGTTTCTCACTACTGGCCAAGAAGGAGCTTCGGCTGACTTGGCCTGGGAGGTTGGAAGCTGGGTGGCCCTTGAAGCTGCGACAGGAGAAGGCGAAGGCCCTAAGAACCTTGCATCATTTCCGGTGGCGGGGGGGGGCCTTTCGTTTCCTCCCTTCCCTGGATCCTGATGCGGGAGAGACCAAGGTGAGCCACCCGGCCGAATTCGAGAGAGCTCCGTGCCAATGGGACAGTCTCGAGTGCTTGAGGCGATCAAAACTCAATGCCGTCAATGCCAGTTTCGCGAGCGCCAGCCTTCGCATTGGCTCATTGTCTCGAACGCACATGTTGAGGACGGAGGACGTGATGAGATTGTGTCAAATGTAGGCCGCCGATGGTTTGCTTTCTTGTAGTGTCCTTTTTAGGATCAGGGGTCTCGATTTTGGACACAGCCACGTAATGTTGGACTCTGTTTAGTGTGACCCCCCCCCCCCCCTGGAACAGTGGAACCAGTCGGCGGGACTCTCTTTAGGGAGATCCTGGGGGATCTGGGAGGGACAGTACTTACTTTAGTATTGCCAATTCTACTTTAGTATTGCCAAGGCCCCCTCTCAGATTCCCAGTACTGACTTTAGTATTGCCAATTCTACTTTAGTATTGCCAAGGCCCCCTCTCAGATTCCCAGTACTGACTTTAGTATTGCCAATTCTACTTTAGTATTGCCAAGGCCCCCTCTCAGATTCCCAGTACTGACTTTAGTATTGCCAATTCTACTTTAGTATTGCCAAGGCCCCCTCTCAGATTCCCAGTACTGACTTTAGTGTTGCCAATTCTACTTTAGTATTGCCAAGGCCCCCTCTCAGATTCCCAGTACTGACTTTAGTGTTGCCAATTCTACTTTAGTATTGCCAAGGCCCCCTCTCAGATTTCCAGTGCTTGCAAATGGTTGAGATGAGCTGTCCCCTTAGCCATTTTCTTGCTCTTGCTTTTGCTTAGCTCCAGCCCGTGTTCACTTTCTGCTGGCTAAGTGTCTCAGCTGCATTTGTTTAGCTTGATTTTAGTTTAAATAGCCATCCCTCAGCCCAGGCCATGAAGCAGCACCTCAAGAGCGTGGTCTTCATCAGCTTCCTGTTGCTGAGTGGCATCATTGCTCAGAGCCACTGTGCTGCAATAGAGGGGGGGGGGGGAGGAGGGAGGGGAAGGGATGGGAAGGGAAGGCTTGAGTTTCCTATCAGGGCTTTATTTTGAAGGATTTTTCTGAGAGGGTTTAGTTTCAAGGGTTTCTCTGAGAGGGCTTCAAGTTTGAAGGGGTTTCCTGAGAGGGGTGTTTGAGGCTGAGTTTTGGTGCTGAGGGCACTGAGTTTGGAAGCTGAGCACCTGCAGCCATTTCTTGCTCACAGTCCTCAGCTTACTCCTTGCAGCTGTGCTGAGCAATGTGCCCTCAGATGATTCCTCCTGCTCCTAAGCCTGATGCTTTGTTTGCCAGCTCAGTCAAGGGCCCTAAGACCCAGCTCACCTTCAGCAGGGTTCACTGGGCTGAGCCTGAGATTTTGTGTGCCCATTGCAACTCAGCTGCCAAACACAGACATTTTAAGCTTTTGGCTGACCATCTTGCTTGCTTAATTTCTTTGCTTAGTAATGTACTTAAGGCACCAACAGCTTATTTAAGTCTCTGTGTTTGATTTCTTTGCAAGTAAGGTGCTGAGGATGGCAAGCAAACTAAGCTTTGGCTTAGCAGGCTGCCATGGCAGACACGTTGTGTGGTCTGCAAGAGGAGCTGGCAAGCTGAGCAAATCTATGAGTACCACAAGAAGGTACTCACAGTGGCTGAGAGGCTCCCTTGGGCAAATTTCCTAAGGTACGAGCTTCAGATCATCCCTAAGCCACTTCCCTCAGGAGGTATCTTTGGAGGGATCCCCTATGCTGAGCCTCCTTCTCAGCACTCCAAGTTCCCTGAGAGCAACAAGGCTGAGGAGGAGAAGGCTGAGGAGGAGCCTGAGCCCTTTGACATCCTCAGTGAGAAGCTCAGCTGTGTGGAGGAGCACATTGCAAAGGCTGAGCAGACCACTGAGGTGGCCCTTGGCTTTTTCAGGGGCCACGGCTTTGGGGCCAGGCTAGTGCCATCAGGAGTGCATTGAGCCTGGGGTGGTGGAGGCTAAGGCCCGCGTTCTCAGATTGAGCGAGGCAAAGCCACCCCCTGCCCTGCCAAAGGCTAAGGCTAAGCCCCCCAACTTGTCTGAGGAAGAATATGCTCAGCTGGTGGCACTCATGCAAAAAGCAGAGGGCTGAGCACCGAGTCTGCCTGAGTTCCCAACTCAGGCTCAGCACAAAAGATGCTGTTTTTTTAAGCTCACTTCTTGAGTTCTGGATTAAGCACCCCCTAAGTACTTTTGGTGCTGAGGCATGTGTTGAGAGGAGGCTAATTCATTATATGATTAGTTCATGTTTCTTTGGCAAATCCACTCAGGAAGTGAGAATGTGAGCAAGCTTGATGTGAGAAATAAAAGAGCTTAGGTGAGAGGGTGGGGTTGTTTGAGCAATTATCCTAGGGCCAAGCTTGCACTGAGTGACAGTTTCTTATCTGAGGCCCTGGCACACCTGAGCTGGCAGCCCAGCTGAGCCAGTTCAGTGACATCGGGCTGAGCTACTCGGCCCTTGCCTCTTGGCTTTTAGTTTGGGTGGGGGGAATGGCTGGGTTTGGGATTGGTTTTAGTATTGAAAAGTTGTTTTGAGAGGTTCTTAATTTGAAGGATTTTTCTGAGAGGGTTTCTGTTTGAAGGATTTCCTTAGGAGGGTTTCTGCTTGATTTTTTCCTGAGAGGGTTTTGTCTGGGAGTGGCTTTCTGAGAGTGGCTTTTGCTTCTAAGGTGCAAATCTTGGCAGCCCTCATCCTGAGCATCTTGCTCAGGAAGCTGCTGAGAGGCTTGGCTGACCACCTTTGGTGGCTGGAGCGCCAGGCCTGGGGTGAGCACTTTGGTTTTTGTTTTTGAGGGGGGTGAGTTGTCAGGCCCATCAACTCAGCCACATCTCTGAGAAGCTGAGCATGATTGAGAGGCGCCCTTCAGCTGCAACATACTTAAGCTAAGCAGCTCCTGAGCTCATGAAGTGTTTTGTTTGAGACCTGAGGCCAAGACACAGCAGCAGGTGACCTGTGGGATGTCCACAGGCACCTGTCCCAATCTCTGATGGACTTCTCACCTGAGGCTTTGAGCACTTAGTTGGACTGAATTGAGTCTAAGTTGTGCTCAGGGGGAGGCTCAGTCATCTTCCAGGACATGGTGCTGAGGCAGAGGGCCAGCCTTCTCAGAGGTTGGCACTTCAGTGTTCCAGACTCTTGGGCTAAACCTTAGGGTTTGCACTCTGAGGGGTTGTGCTGAGTTATGTTGATCTCAGGAGTTTGAGGCTGAGTGGGATGTCGTGGTGATGGCCAGCATCCTGA